TCTTCAGGCCCTCTCCAGTTGCCCTGGAAAGGCGGGAATTTATTTATTATTCGGGATACATGATCGCTGCAGTCGTTGAGGCATTTGCAGCGTGGGCGTGGGTACATAAACCAACTTCTAATCATATTAACTAATACAAAGGCCGCTTTGGGCAATTCTAGTTTAATGTAAATTTTTAAGGTTGTAGATTTCGTAAAATTGTTCTTCTTTTCAACTTTTTTGTTTTATTCATTCACACACTCATTCATTCTTAAGCTACGATGTTGGTGCGCTACGATGTTGGGCCCTGCGGTTTATATAGTAGATGGCCAGGCTGTGGTTGGCTTAGGTGACTCGCCAATCAGGTGGGGATGGATTATATAGTAGTTTGGCCTGGCTGGGAATCGCTTAGGTGTTGCCCAATGGGGTAGAAGGAGAAAGGAGACGGGGGAACAGACGGGAAGGAGCGGTCCGAAGTCGGACGGCAAGGAATGCTCAGGGATCGTTCGGCATGGGGTGGCCCGTGCGGGCGGCCTCCCGCGACCACGTACTTCGCAAAGGTGTAAACCATAAACCAAAGGTGATCTCCACAGGTTGTCATTCCAAAAGCTGATGGAGGAGTTCGACTGTGTGTCGATTACAAATTTGGTGTGAACATGCAACTTATGGACGCACATTATCCCATTCGAAGAATCGACGAAATTTTGAATAGTCTCTATGATTCCCGCTACTTTTGCCGATTGGACCTGTGTAAAGCGTATCTACATATTCCAGTGGATGAACAATCGAGTAAAATTCAAACAATATCAAAACATAGAGTGACTTACAGAATGAATCGTCTCTCCTTCGGTATTAAAACAGCGCCATCAGAATTTAATCGGATTATCACCCAAATTTTGAAAAACATCCCGAAGACTGAACAAATTCGACGACATTATTGTACATGGATCAACAGAAGAAGAATGTGATGCTAACATGATCTTGTGCCTTGAACTGCTGAGGAAATATGATCTACATTTGAATCGCTGGAAATGCTCATTTTTTCAACAACGCATCGAGTTTCTAGGACACGACGTCGAATATAATAAAATGTCGAAGTCACCAGAAAAAATCAAAGCCATCACACAAATGCCAAAGCAAAGTCAAAAGATGAAACAAAATCCTTAATATTAGTCACATTTTATAGCAGACTTATTCCAAACACTTCAACAATTACAGCACCATTGCGGAATTTGCTGAAGGAAAATACGATTTTCAAATGGACAACAGAATGTGAGACAGCTTTTATTCACTTGAAACGGGAAATCATAAGCGATCGCGTAGTCATGCCATTCAATCCCGAATTGCAAGTTCGACTCGCTTGTGATGCAAGTCCCACAGGTATAGGAGCAGTCTTATTACACATTATCAATGATCAGGAAAAGCCAATAGCTTTTGCATCTCGATCACTAACCCTAGCAGAACAAAATTATTCTCAACTGGTTAGAGAAGCTCTAGCAATTGTTTTTGGAACTGACATATTTTTTTCATATTTATTCGCACGTCAATTTCAACTTGTCACAGACAATCAACCTCTACCTAAGATTTTCCATCAACATGCAAAATTGCCACGGATGACTTCAGCCCGTATACAACGTTACGCAGCTTTTCTATCAGGATTCGATTATAAAGTTGTATTCAGAAGAGGATTTGAGAATACCGATGCTGACTTTTTATCGCGGATACCACTGACTGAAGAACTTAAATCACACACAGAAACAGCTATTAACGAAGATGTCCATTTTCTACATGAAGAAACAATCAACAGAATTTACACTCAGAAAATCACATTCAAATTAACTCAGAAAGAGACCGAATCTGATGATCAACTTTCTGGCATCCTCCCAGAACTCCAAGAAGACGAAACAATGATGTAGAAATTACCATGGACAACGGCATACTTTTTAGAAATCAACGCGACGTGCTACCATCAAAACTACAAGCTGCGGTTTTGGAGGAACTTCATCGAACTCATATCGGAATTTCAAAAATGAAACAACTCGCACGCCGGTATGTATACTGGAAGAACATAGACAAGGATATCGAACATATCGTTCGAGCAATGTCAGAATGTGCAAAAGTGAAAAACAGTTCAGCAAAAGCTCCTCTACATCCATGGAAAGAACCAGAAGGAAATTGGCAACGTATTCACATCGATTATGCAGAACCATACCAAGGACATCATTTTTTAGTTGCCATTGATGCAAAATCGAAATGGGCAGAAATTGAACCATGCTCGTCAACGCCATCTTCAGCATCAACCATCAAATTGCTCCAATTTTCAAGACACAGATTTCCAGAAGTAATACTTGCAGATAATGCTACAATATTCTCCAGTGAAAATTTTCAACACTTCTGCAAAACATCAGGCAGTTTTTGCAAGTCCATCGCACCAAGACACCCTGCAACGAATGGATTAGCAGAAAGTAATGTGCAAACATTGAAAAAACGATTAGCAACAATGATCAACGAACCACTTCCAATGGGAAAGAAAGTTCGGGAAATTCTTTTCAGGTACAATCCAATTTCATGGATTAGGCAGGAATGCCTGTTCCGGAAACCATCATCTCGGACAACCAATACTCCTTCGGCCAGTCGGTTTGTAATTTCTTGCCAGTCGATGAATTCGGCTTTATTTATTTATTTATTTATTTATTTATTTATTTATTTATTTATTTATTTATTTATTTATTTATTCTCAAGATCCAGTGTCGGATAAGCCCCGCCACATCCCGGGATAAAATATGTACTACATATGCGAGGGTAATTACACTTGACGTGGAAACTGTCGGAAACACCAATAAACCATTCAATCATTAAACCCGGAGAAGCCAGTCTTCTTCACCCGCTAGTATGTGAATTGCGGAGTCAAATGTGGGCTTCAGGGGGTCCCTCTCCAAATATATCCCGATCTGTCGGAACAAACACTAGGCTCCGACTGCTCTCCCGAAATGTCTTGTAGTGTAGCATAGTGTATTTAAGGCGAAAGGATGCGGAAGAAAAGATAACGCGAGATCAGTGGTCCGTTTGTTATAAAATACTACTCCGGCATTCGCCTGAGAAGTATAGAAGAAGCCAAGGAAAACTACCGTTCAGAAAACCCAACCACTAGAATTCTTTTCCGAGTAACGACAGAATTCGATGTACGTTGCTTAAAAATGGCTAATGTCAAAAATCTGCTACCGTCGAGATTCGAACCCCATGGCCTACGTGTCGTAAACTTTGTAGTGTCAATTGTCGTTCCTCTGAGTCATCTTAGCAGTAAAAATCACAATGATTTCCTCAAAAATAGCGGTACGATTCCAATTAAATACCGGTATAATACCTTTAATTCAGGGTTTCCGAACGGGGATCGATTAAATTTTGAAGGGGGTCAATGAAAGGGGGGTGAAAGGGTCGATTGGGTGTCTAGAGTCAAATATGAATAAGCGATAGATAGGTATAATTAAAATTCCATTGATTACAAACAAATATTAAAATAACTTTATAATTAATTCTTTTGAGCTGTAGAGCAACAAAACATATAATAATAAATTGCAAATTCGCTCTTCTTTCTTATGTATCGTTCCTCACTAGAGACAGGGGCGTAGCTACACTGGTGCAACCGGCGCACCGCCCCAGTTCCCGGAAGGGGCCCTTAATAAGGAAGGATCCGTAAATAATAAAACAAATTTTCTCTCCAAGCTTATTTTCTCCATTGCGTCAGCCATATTATTATACCAATTAAATTTTAAACACTTAATGTCACGTTTATTGACGAAAGGGACCCATTTCTATTTTCTGCACGGGGCATGCCAGAACCTGTCTACACAATTGCTTACGATGTTTAGAAAACACAATAAATTATAACTATGTATTGACAAAGAAATGATATCGCGGAAGAAAATACGCCTTACAATATTCACTAGTGGAACATTATGGACATGAAAACAAAAAGCTCAACATTTTGCAACCATTTCACAACAATGAAGATAAACTCAGCTACTCAGATGCGGAAGATTCTTCGATTATTTTATATCTAAATATTAATAAAATATTATGTATACGGTATTGGTATACAGAATTGTCATCTTAAAGACATTTATGGGCAATCCTTTTGTTATAATTATGTATGGTATGTTATAGAGAAAAACGTAAGGAGGTCGATGATCGAAAAAGTTTGGGAATCTCGGATTTAAATGGTATTTTACCTGTATAGACGACCGATAAAGGTAAAACACCTCTGGAAATACCGGTATATGACGTTGTATATCGGAATGTTTAAAGGTATTTCGAATAGAGGTGTAATAGAGGTAAAGGTAATACCGATATAAATACCTTTACTGTTATAATTTCGATATTTGATCTCTGAATCTTACAGCTGACTGTATTTCACTACTGACTGTATCTCCTAATATTTCATTTTTTGCTTACTCAGTCAAATTTATTCAAATAAACTCACATCCGTCATTTTGACGAGTTGCTTTTAATGGAAAATTGTGCCAAGTGTCATCGAAAGTAGAATTAGTACAAAGCTTCGCATCTTTCCCCGACCTAGAGCTGTGGACCTTCCGAAATTCTCAAAAGTCAACACCTAAAGAAACAGGTTCGTATTGCGCTTGGCGCCCGAAAGAAATATAGCGTATGCAAATTCTGAGTTTCCTCAACGTTTCCCCGACACGTTTCATTACATATTGCGTTCGTGTGTTATAAGCATATTTCATTAAAATATTATAGGAAATTTTATGCAGAATATTTTGGTAGAGAGTAATTTTTACCGTCAGTTTTTTAGACGTGGGCGAAACAAAACTAGAAAAAATGTAATTTTTTTAATGTTTTTGTTGTTAAACTCAAATTCCAACAATATTTTTGACAAACTTCAAATTCAGCACTCCAAAAATCATAAAATAGCAAGAAACCAAAAATACACCAAAATTTGTTTTAGCAAACTATCTGGTGACTGGACTAAAGCGTCAATACATTTTCTTTGGAAATGTTAGCGAATGTCAAGAGAACAATGCTGGAGTATAGGAAAACATGTCTGTCGTCGTCTCGACATAAACAGAGGTAGAGCTGCCGGCGTGATTAGATGTCATCTTAATATGGAAAATGTGTGCTAGTAGCAATTAACGTCAGTGAAATGTAGAATGTTAGCAAGAAACTGTGTTTCTAGAATTTTGCGTGTGTATGGGAACTTATAGCCGTGGGTTGTCAAGATCTTATGTGGCGTCTATAGTTCCAGCTTTATATTTTTTGCTTAATTGAGTCAGACACTCGTGTTCTACATTTCCAGTGTTTTATACTGCTTATAGGCCATAGAAATACAATGGAAATTTGAGATAATTGAGTATGTTTGTTGAAGTTTGGAGATGTGGTTATGTGTTGAACATCGGAATTATAGGTTTTGAATGTTTGCAAAGTTTCTGATTGTTTCTGATGACAAGGAGAGAATATATATATTTTTCCGGCAGTAGTGTGAATGTTGTGTTCGATGTCACGACAAATTGGTGTTTCTACAAGTGTCATTTGATAAGTTATGGATCGAATGACATGTTATGTTAATACTCTACCAGTTATGCAGTTATTGAAAAAAAAAGTTTCAATTATAATCACTAGTGTAATTATGATTTATATTCCAGAGCATGTATTTGAGAAAGTAAAAAGATTTTGATCAATGTAGAAGAGAAAGATTGTTTATAAAAGTACATGCGTATCTAATACTTTGTGATAGAAATGTCAGTAATATTTGATTGGTTTAATACCTACACAAGAAAGATAATAAAGAACAAAGTAGATATTTCATGAAGATTTTGAATGTGATTAAATTGTGTATGAAGTCTCTGAAAAGTTGAAAGAACGCTGGAAATTGCAAGAAAAAATGTGAAGTCAGTAAGTGATAAGTTGTTGTTTGATCATCATTAATTGATCTTGCATTACATTCCTGTTAAGAATATGTGTCATAATGTGGTAGAAACATGAGGATCTGTGATTTTGAGTGCCAAGGTATGAAATGTGTTCTAAGGAAAAAAACAGGGTTGGAAGCCTATAGATTTGATTTTTGGGATTTTTAATCAAATCTTTGTTATCATGAAGCATCCTGTGAGTTCAATTGGCACTTGTACTTCTGGTAGTGCAACAAGGAGTTCTATGAGTTCTACGCATCAAAAGTTCAACCAAGGTGAGAATTTGAAAATAAGTATTTTGTAGTTATTGGTTTGGAAAATTTTACTATTTTAGATAAATGCATTGTTCTTAGGAATTTATGTAATCTTAATTGTTCGTTTAGTTGTCTATATGAATTAATGCCATTATTTCCAAAATTTGCAAAAATGAGTTTTCGAAATGGAAAATTCAAGTAAAAAGCCTGTTATTTATTAATAATAAAGACTTCATGGCAGTTTTTCCTTTTAATTCGATGTCTAATTGCTTTCAAAAGCTTCTCAAATGTTCATTTGCCATTGAATCAAGTAATTTTAGCTAAAATGAGGTACTTTAGCTATTTACCCCTACTAGGGGCAGTTTTTAGAATTTAGTTTGGAAGACACACACTTATCTTCAATTAACTCATAAGAAAAGATGAAACTCTTAAAGTAAAGGATTTTCAAAATATACATCATCAGTATTCAACTTTCTGAAACGTGTATGTTGCTTGTCATTATTAGTTTACCTTATGCTTGTGAGGATACATATTTACTTTCTTATTAATATATTTTAGATTGTGAGAGTAAATTAAAATTGCATCTTTGTACAGAATTAACAGACCTTTCACTTTGGTAAACATAAAAGCATATTCATGTTGTTTAATTACTTCCTAAGTTTCAATATATGGTAATTTTAAACTTATAATCTAACCATTGCTTACAAATTCAGTTTACTAATATGAGGGTGCTTAAATTAAAGATAAGTGTTGACTAAACTTGTAGAACTTTCCTTTTTATATATTTTGCTTTTTAAATCCTGGTAAACTTCTCCATCTGTCAGTGATTTGTGTAGCCACATTAATATTTTCTGTTATTGTTGCTAGTTTGTTTGTTTTCATGCCGGCCATGGTTAGTTCAAGAATGCTGAAATAAGATTTATACACTCTAGGGGCTCAAAGAGAAAATGTGTTGTATGTGGTTGCAAAAAGCAAATAATAAGATTCAACAATATTCATGAGCATACTCTTTTATCATTGTGATGTTTCTAGAATTTAATATTTTACCCAAGATTTTTTTGTAATTTCCTATGTAACTAGTCTTTGTTTAACTAGTCAAATGTCTCAAGTATTTGTGTAATTGTGCTAATTGTTTGTCAGGGTATGATGTGATTTTCATTGTTACAAATGTGAAAGTGAGAACCTATTGAATGTTTTTTTGTGATGTATGGATTATTTTCAAAAATTTAGTTTTATTTTCACGGGTGTAAAACATCCTTTAAGAAGTATAAATTTTTGTTTTCTTTTTTACAACCATTTCCAACCCTTGCAAATTTTTTCCAATTGTAATTACTTTTCCAGTATTTATTTCAAAAATAGGAAATTTGAATTACTGTTTGAAAAGCTCTTTAACACTTTTCAAAGAGGTATTCAAATTAGTCAAAATTTCAATATTAATACTGTTACCAACATATGATATCTAAGTAGTTGTAGTACTTCAATTTGTCAGAATATAAGTTTATTGTGTAAACAACTATTTTTTTATCAACAAAAATGTTGTGCTTCAGCATAGTTATGGAATGAACAATATGACAACTTAAACAAACTCAAAATTCTAATGATATTTGTTCATAAAAAATTAACCGATCATAATGATATCATGTTTTAATGATTGTACAATAAAGAGGATTTCTTTAAAATTTTATAGTGCTTTGGTTGTCTGTATATAATTTAAGTGTAACATTTTCTTCTCTGTTTCCAATTTCCTTGAATAATCGGTTCAACTGAACTGAAGATTAGGTTCTTCACTTGTAACAACATATTCTACTTCCATATGTGATAAACCCATACAACGTTGAAGTTTACACATCCTCATTACGGATCCATCAAAATATTTCATAAACATGCCATTTGAGGAATGTCTTGTTGACTTGTCCCCAGCATGATCAGCATTTCTATAAGCTTCAAAATTCATATTTATTCTTTTCTTGAATTAAAATTTCATAAAATATTACTGACTTCAGATATTCAAGCATTCATTATTCTTAATCATTTATCTATGCTAAAATGTGCTTCTATTGATGCATCTTGAATTCTTGAAGGTACATTGACAGCATCCAAATCCACACCTGTACCAAATCTGGTTCGGTTCCCATAAAAAAAAAAAAAAACTGCCGATGATTTGACTTAATGACTTTAACTATCAGTCAACTGTTATTCTGCAGAGAACCATCCACATTCAATTGGAATTAATAATGGTTTTGTCTCCATCATTCCATACGCCTCCAATATCCTTTTTGAATACACTTCTTGATTCATTTGAATACAATCTTTTTGTTTTATTTGCAATCCTATATGGATAACTTCTGATTTAGTGATATCAAATCAATTTTCTAATTTGTTAATAAATTCATTTATTAGATTACTTTCAGCCAAAATTTATCTAAAATTAACCACATGTAATAAACGGATATTATTAAAAAACGTGCAACGATCAACACTACTTTCCTGTAAGCTTCGTTCCCAAGAAATTATATTAGACATTTAAATTAACAATTGAAAACTTGCGTTAATCCATACAAACTGCAGTGAAACGTCAAACGAACTCCTTGGTTAAGGGCTCACTTCTATCAACTCTCGTTTTCGTGTACAAATTCCCGTTTGGTGAGCGGCCACCTGCGCTCGCAGCCAGTCACATTTCGTAGATTGACCGACCACCTCCAGCGATGACGCCCTGTAATAGAATAAGAGCGGTGGATATACTGTTGCTTCTCTTCCTGCGAAGGGACGCATCGTTAGATTACTTAGAACGTGACATTAGATACGTTTTCTTGGCAAGGGTTAAATATCTGTTTAAAGCGAAAACATGGTTATAATGAAGGTCTCTATGGAATAACGAGTTCATTTTGCTTATACCAGAACTTTCTCGTGAAGTTCGCTAACCCTTTCTCTCTTATGTGGGAACATATTAAAAGTCGGTGGAGTACGCCGCGTGCGCGAAATGGATTCGCGAAATTTCGTGGGATATACCTGCCCACCGAAAAATGATTTTCATTTTGAAGTCTAATTTGCGTGCAAGTTAGGTTCGGTGGGGACGGAACCTGACTTATTTTCAAGAGGTCAAGGATATTGGATACCGGCCGAGGGATAGTAAGTGATCCTAGAAAGAAAGAAAAAAGTCAGCTAGAAAACTTGCTGATATTTTTAAGTGCGTTAGGACACAAATTTATTAGAATTATATAAAAAAAACGTATGGCAGATTTTGGTGAAGGTTTGAACGTGATGTAAATTCTTATAAACAAACAACTCTTCCGAACCTCTATATTACTAATTCCAATGCGCGCAGACAAGTGTCGGCGCTAGGCATAGGCAGACCGGCAAATCAAGGGGACCCAATGATGAGACTGATGGGGAAAATATTTAAAAAATTGATAAAGAAAATAGAACTCGAGAAAATCGTTATCGTAATTTTACAAGTCGCAGTACAGTAGTCTGATATTTCATAAAATTTTCGATTTTTTTTACTTTAAATGTGATTGTAGTCTTCTGTATATACCGGGTGATCAGTTTAAAATGCAACCAGCAGGTAGAGCGATTTGCACGGGCAACTATACATCTTTGAACGGGTCGGATAGCGGCTGGCGTTTTCAAGGAGGTAATCTGTCCCAGACCGCAGGGGACCGTCGTGGCCACGAGCTCGACGAGAAGGCACGCGCCTGCTTGTTTGATAGCGAAAGAAAATTGTATTGGCAAGAACAATGAATTCTTCGTAAATTGTTTAAAAGTGAAATAAGCTTGCCATGTAAAATAGACATTCAGGTAGGTTCAATAACACACTTTCCCTGTTTGTTTCTCAACAAATGTGCTCCAGAAATGTACACATCTTTTTCTTGCTGTTGTAATAAGCATCAATAAATTATTAATTCCAGTTTCGTAGAACATGTTTATTATTATTATTATTATTATTGTTGTTATTATTATTATTATTTTAATAGTAACTTTAAAAATAGAAATAGTTTTGTAAAAGAGAGTTCAGTAGTCAGTGCATAATAAGCACTGGTTAAATTGCCAGTAAAAGATAGTCTCTGGTTGGTGATAAATAGCATCCCTCTTCATCCCATTTAGTTCCACCTTAACGATAAATGCTTTTGAAATTACCTGCAAACAATAATAGGAAAGTTAGTTCAGTAATCGATAAAGAAGAAAAATAAATTATTTATTATGAAGAGGAATTTGTGTCGGAAACAAGCGAACCTCACAAAACTTTAAAATGCTCTCCGTTTGCTAAAAAAACTCGCCTGAGAACATTTGCTGCAACCCGATGTAAAGTTTCTTCGTCAATCATATGAATCGCTTCATCGACGTTTTTCTGTGCAGCTCTTCGTGATTGGCAGGTTTGTTCGCATAAACTTTCCTCGTGAGACATTCCCAAAGATAAAAATCTGGTGGTGAAAAATCAGGCGAAGGAAGAGGCCACAAACCTGTGTAATTATTCGGTTCGCAAGAAACTGTTTCAGAAATTGCATTGTCGACTTGGCAGTAAGGGATGGCACCCCATCTTGCTGAAACCAAGAAAGGATACAAACTTTCTCAATGTATTCTGATACGTATTCGCCGTTACAGTTTCTTTGAAAAGCAACGAACCAATTATTCTGCGACGAGATATGGCACTCCATACTCCAATATTTTTTTAATGCAATGATCTCTGTTTCCTGTGGTCTCTCAGTACCTCAGAATCTACTGTTTAGCGGGTCAGCATAGCCATCCATATGAAACCAAGCCTCATTAGTAAAAATACCCTTTATCAAGTGCCTCAAGACCTTCGCTATTAAATTGTCGTAATCATAATTCATGCGAGCAGCCCGATCAGAAACCTTCAGCCGGTCCGGATGGCCGAGATCGATAAGGAAGTAGTGCCGTAGCGATCCTGGACCAAAGGATCGCGGGTTCGAGGCCCGCCTCGAGCATGATTGTATTGTGTTTGTCCGTTCACCCCCTATCATCATATCGTATCATCCTCACAGTTACCATACCGTTACACG